CTCCACATTAATAGAAGTTTGAAAGAAGTTGATTCCAACCCTCATCAATGATGTTTCGGGGTTCCAGACTTCAGCGGAGGAAGTCACTGTAGATGCGGTAGAAGTAGCAAGACAAATAGAATTGGAAGTGGAGCCTGAAAATGTGACCTCACTGTTGCTATCTCATGATAAAACTTTGATAAAGGAGATGCTTTTTATGGATGAGCAAAGAAAGTGGTTTCTTCAGATAAAATCTGTTATTGGTGATTACTGTTTAAATGACAACAAAGGATTCAGGGTATTAGCTGACAAAGCAGTGGCAGGGTTTGGGGGGATTGGCCCCAATTTTGAAAGGTGGGTGGGTAAAATGCTATCAAACAGCATCACATGTTACAGGGAAATCTTTTAATGAATGGAACAATCAGTGGTTGGCCAGACGCGGTGGCTCACGCCTGTCATCCCAGCACTTTGGGAGGATGAGGCAGGCAGATCACCTGAAGCCAGGAGTTCGAGACCAGACTGGCCAACATGGTGAAACCCTTTCTCTACTAAAAATACAAAAATTAGCTGGGCACAGTGGCAGGCACCTGTAGTCTCAGCTACTCAGGAGGCTGAGGCACGAGAATTACTTGAACCCAGGAGGCAGAAGTTGCAGTGAGCCAAGATCATGCCACTACACTTCAGCCTGGGTGACAGAGGGAGACTCCATCTCACAAAAAAATTAAAAAATTAAAAAATAGCCGGGCGCGGTGGCTCATGCCTGTAATCCCAACACTTTGGGAGGCTGAGGCGGGCGAATCACAAGGTCAGGAGATCAAGACCATCCTGGCTAACACAGTGAAACCCCATCTCTACTGAAAAAAAAAAAAAAAAAAAAAAGATTAGCTGGGCATTGTGGCATGCACCTGTAGTCCCAGCTACTTGGGAGGCTGAGGCGGAGAATTTCTTGAACTCAGGAGGCGGAGGCTGCAGTAAGCCGAGATCGAGCCATTGCCCTCCAGCCTGGATGACAAAGTGAGACTCCATCTCAAAAATAAAATTTAAAAAAAATCTAAAAATAAAATAAAAAACAAACTTCCTTAAGAAATTGCCAGTCACCCCAGCCTTCAGCAACCACCACCCTAATCAGTCAGCAGCCCTCAACAAGACACCCACCAACAAAGACTATAACTCGCTGAAGGCTCAGATGATCCCTAGAATGTTTTAGCAATATTTTTAAATTAGGGTATATACATTATTTAGACATGTTATTGCACATTTAATAGACTACACTTTAGTATAAACAACTTTCATATGCACTGGGAAACCAGAAAATATGTGACTATTGGCCTAGAACCAAACTAGAAATCTGAGGTATGCCATAGGGGGAGGTACGTGTGTTCCTGCAGTGCCAGCTACTTTGTAGGACTTGCAGTAACTTATTTTAAATGCTCTTTGTTTGTATAGGGGACTTGGGCCAAAGTAAACTGGACATAACTCCTGGAATTTTTTCTCTCTTTTCTTCGAGACAGAGTTTTGCGCTTGTTGCCCAGGCTGGAGTGCAATGGCGCAATCCTGGCTCACTGCCACCAGCACCTCCCAGGTTCAAGCAGTTCTGCTGCCTCAGCTTCCGAGTAGCTGGGATTACAGGCATGCACCACCACGCTCAGCTAATTTTGTATTTTTAATAGAGATGGGGTTTCTCCATGTTGGTCAGACTGGTCTTAAACTCTGGACCTCAGGTGATCTGCCTGCCTTGGCCTCCCAAATTGCTGGGATCACATGCATGAGCCACCAAGTCTGGCTTTCATAGGTAGAGCTAATTCAGGGACGAAATCATGCAGAAATTCACAGAACAATGAGGGTCTCTAGATTATGGCGTTTCTTGGAGCGAGTGTGTTGTCCTACCCATAAAATACGACCCAGTGTGCCAATAAGGTGCCATGGGGTGCTCAATGTCAGACTTAATCTAGCTCCTCCTTGGCTGGCTATTGTGAAACATTTACTTTGGCAATGCTTTCAGATTTGATAAAATGGTGGCTTCATCTATTATAATTCCTCTGGACCTCGTAATTTTAAAAGCAACCAACCTTGGAGTGGGAAAAAAATTAAAATGTGTTAAGGCACCATTTCTAATACATTAAGTATAAGGAGTACTTAAGAAACAGGTATAAGGGACTCATCTCATACTATTATTTGGGAGAGAAAAATCGAATATGATAACTTCTACATATGCTTGTGGTTGAAGTCTTAATGTCATTAGAGTCTGAATTCCAAGAAGGGTTTTTACTCAAACCATTTACTGTTCATTTCATTGTGTGCATAAAATCAGAAATCACTTAGTAACTTATTCTGCAACTAAGACATGAAATATCCCTACCTCGCTTGCATGGTGGTTGCGATGACCGGGTTAAGTGACCGGGAAGAGCTCAATGAATATTGATTATTGCCACCATCTTGTACTCATTGGAAACAGAAGTGGCATTTTCTGGTTTGCTCATTACCTACCCCAGTTGCCTTGCATGTAGCTCAGTATTTAGCCATTGACTGTAATTCAGGGTTTTAACATTTACACTCTGGCTTTTATCTAGTCTGAATGAGTTATTTGACCACCAGAATTTCCGGTCCTTTGGCCTCACTTTCAGGGTCTCTGTTTCAGTCCTGAAAACACTCTCTCTACAGGAGTGGAACTCCAGTTGGCTGATTTTCCACTTACCCGAAAAGAGCAGATGGAAAGGAATTTGTCATTTTTTTCTCCCAAGTATCTTATTATCTCAGAATGTTACTACTATAGTCTGTGGTTATGTATTTTAAAACGAGATTTTTGTCTACCTTTTTTCCCCTCATTTACCACTGATCAGAATTTTGTCTATCTTAAAACATAAATAAGCCAGGTGCGGTGGCTCACATCTGTAATCCCAGCACTTTGGGAGGCCGAGGCAGGTGAGTCACCTGAGGTCAGAAATTTGAGAATATCCTGGCCAACATAATGAAACCCCGTCTCTACTAAAAATACAAAAAATTAGCTGGGCATAGTGGCAGGTGCCTGTAATCCCAGCTACATGGGAGGCTGAGGCAGGAGAATCGCTTGAACCAAGGAGGTTGAGTGAGCTGAGACTGCACCATTGCACTCCAGCCTGGGCAATAAGAGCTTCATCTCGAATCTCGCGGGGAGGGGGGACATAAATACGAAGCATTTTCTTGGGTACTTATTTTGGAGTTACAAATGTATAATTTTAGCCTCTTAAAGCAACAGCTACCCACAGTACAATGGCTAAGTCCCTGGGACTGGGAAACGGGCTGCCCAGGTTCTAGTCATGGATCCCCCATTGTATTTGCTACTAAACATTCAATATGTAATACAACTTAACCTCTCATAGCCTCAAACTCATTGCTGTAAAATGGGGCCCAAATCTACTCGAGAATTTCTGAGACAGTAAATGCCCAACTCCTATGACAGTACGGAACCCATAGCAAGCTTTCAGTACATTATTTTCAGCACTGAAGATTATCTAAACTATTTCCCAAGCTGCAGTCTATGAACCAGCAGTATTAACATCACCTGGGAACTTGTTAGAACTGCAAATTCTCCCAGCTTCCCCAGACCTACTGAATCAGAAACTCTGGGGGTGGGGTCCGACAGTGCGTTTTAACAAAGTGCTTCAGCAATTTTTACAAATGCTCGTGTTTGAGAACCACTAACATAGACTGGAATGCAACCAATCACTCTCTTCTCTCTCAAAGAAAAAAAAACCCCAAAGCAAATCCGTTAAAATTCACATACACTAAGTTAACCGATAGGATGACTTGATTTCTCCTACATCTGAATAGTTTTCCATGAAAGTGACTTATTGAAACTGATTTGCCCTCATATCTCAAGCATGTCTTCATTACATCTTCTCTGTGCTCAATGTCTCCTTTATGAAATAAACAGAGCCATCTCTGTCCCTGGAAGAAGTGTGTCAAAAGATTTTAAGGAGATGAGCATTATTTGAAGGCAATATATTACTTTAAAACATAAATAAAAGTGTAACTTTTTGAAACTGAAGGTCTTGTCACTGATCATAGGCAGATGGCTGGTTTTTGTAGGGTTAAGCAGTGAAAAGCAGCAAAGGAAAGGGGCTATTTCAAATACAGCACCAGTCACTACCCAAGACTTAAATCAATACATTGCCAGTAATTTCTATGAATTCTGAACAATGCAATGTAGTGCATGTGGAAAGATCTTGCCTAATAAGTTTCATTCTACTCCTCAAAGTTACTGAAGCCCGTCAACTATTAATAACAGAACTGTTTTTATATAAAGATTCCATCTTCTTTACTAGATTTTATACCTGTCTTGCACTAGGATAAAATAACAATCATTGTGCATCACACCTTCTGATAATCTTGTACTTCTATATATGCTGATAGAAATAATCTTTTTTTTTTTTTAATTTAGAGAGAGTTGGTTATAGGCTTTTTTTTTTTTTTTACCAAGAATGAGTCTGGTTCTGTCACCCAAGCTGGAGTGCAGTGGTGCAATCTCGTCTCACAGCAACTTCCACCTCCCAGATTCAAGCAATTCTGGTACCTTCGCCTCCCGAGTAGCTGGGATTACAACCATAAGCCACCATGCCCGGCAATTTTTGTATTTTTAGTCGAGACAGGGTTTCGCCATGTTGGCCAGGCTGGCCTTGAGCTTCTGACTTCAAGCAAGCTGCCTGACTTGGCCTCCCAGGGCTGGGATTAAAGGCCTGAGCCACCATGCCCAGCCTCTAGCAACTAATTTTAACAAGTTTTACTAGACTAGTTTACAGGTTCACTGAAAGAAAGGCTACCCGAGAGGATGTGTTTATTAGCTTTTGCCCTCATATCTCAATTCTGTCTTCATTACAGCTCTATGCTTAGTTTCTCTAACTATGAAATAAATACAGCCATAACTGTCCCTGGAGGAACTATGTCAAAAGATTTTAAGGAGACAGGCATCATTTAAAGGCAGTATTATTTTTAAATATCAGTATTACATTTCTTGCAAAGAGCTGCTGAAAGTTAGTTTTTGGTTTTTTGCTCTTTTAATGAGTTTATTCTGTCAATGGGGAAAATATCAACTTTAAAACCTAAATATATGCCACAAAATTGTGGGACAAATTTTGAGTTGAAGATGGCAGTCCAAACTCACGTTTAGCTTTGTACACACATATAATAATTATAAGTGTGTATGCATGCATGGATTAATACACATACATGTTTCTCCACTGTGCTACAAAGAGTGACATCCCAGTAGCAACAAGCACCTCTAGTGCCCAGATCTTGGTTTCTTGTATCATTCTCCAACAAAAGGAACCAGGGCTCTTTGGAGCAGGGGTCAATTCTAGGGCTGAGGCAGGGAATATACAAGATGAACCTGGAGAATCTTGTAGTGCCAGAAAGGAAGGAAGTGCTCAATATTCAAAAGGATAGGCACATCAAAGGAACATAGGCACCAAGCATGACAGGATTCCTAATAACCAAGCTGGACAACGTAAGCAACAAAATAAATACTGTGTTACCCAAAATATAAAATATACATGAGTCCATACTGATGTAAACAGTGGGAGGGAGAGACAAATTTTCTATACAGAAAAATTCCAAGTACTATCTATGGATATTCCCATTTCTAGAAGGTTGAATGTAATCTTCACCACCCACCACCTCCCATGACTGGACTTAGTGACTGTTTTCCAAAGAACCAAAGTTGGAAAGGGAAAATAAACAGTAATTTTCAGCAGCGAAAACCAACAGACACTACCTTACCAAGTGCCCAAAGTTAATATACCATCAAGCTGATAGCATATAACTCCTGACATGATGCAGTGAGAAGGACCTTCACCTCTGATATTCTTCCTAAAAATCCATAACCCCATTCTAATATTGAGGAAAACATCAGACAACCCAAATTGAGTTACATTCTATAAAACACCTGACCAGTACTCCTCAAAACTGTCAAGGTCATAAAAAACAAAGACAGACTGTGGAACTATCACGACCAGGGGCTGATTAGGCATGATGACTAATTCAGTGTGGTATCCTAGACTGGATCCTGGAAAAGGAAAATGACAATAAAAAAACTAGTGCAATCTGAAAAATAAAATCAAGTTCCATTAACAGTAATTACCAATGTTAGTTTCTTAGCTTCTGACAAATGCTTCATGGTTAAATAAAAGGTTAACACTGGGAGAACTGAGTGAGTGGTACACAGAAGCTCTTCATGTATCTCTGCAACTTTTCTGTAAGTCTAAAATTATTCCAAGTTTTTTTTTTATCTGAATATAAAAAACCACTTCTACTGATTTTTGTATAATTTGTGATCATGAATTAATTATATTTTACAAAGATACTGAGTTTTTCCTTTTGAGAAAGCCAATGCTGCTAAGAAAATCCATGAATTCATTATAAGTTTAAACTTACCTGGAGAAGTATTTCAGTAATAAATATTGATAAATCATTAAGTTGTTTTTAAGACAGAGTGTCGCTCTGTTGCCCAGGCTGGAGTGCAGTGGCACAATCTTGGCACACTGCAACCTCTGCTTCCTGGGTTCAAGTGATTCTCCTGCCTCAGCCTCCCAAGTAGTTGTGACTACAGGCATGTGCCACCACGCCTGGCAAATTTTTGTATTTTTAGTAGACAGCATTTTGCCATGTTGGCCAGCTGGTCTCAAACTGCTGACCTCAAGTAATCCACCCGCCTCAGCCTCCCAAACTGCTGGGATTACAGCGCGAGCCACTGCACCCAGCCTATAAGCATTAAGTGTTAATAATGGCTTACAAAACTGTACCTTTTATAAAGGTTTGAAATAAAGTATCAATTGAGAGTTCCAAACATTTAAATGGAATCCCAGTTTGTTTGCTCAATTAGCCACAAGGCATACATGTGCCTTGTCTCAATAGAGCAGACCAATTCAAGTTGGATGATATTAGGTTCCTGGCAATGACACATCTCCAAAGTGAGGAACATGGCCCTTTCTCCAGAAAATATTTTTTCTTCTGCCCTGTTCTACCTGTAATGACTTACAAAGAACCACCTCTCCCTATGCTGTCCTTCTCTGACTTTGAAACTCAGTTCATCTTAATACCTTTGGCCATGGGTTACCCAAAGGCTACACATGGCTTGAGGGCCTGCACCAGGGAAAGGTTAACAACAGCAGTAAGCAAAGACCAGTCTAGGAACAAAACTCAACATTCCAAGAGATTGAAAAGTTTTCAACATTCATAGATGTCTTCAGAAGCTGCTGAAGTTTTCTGGGATTTGCTCTAAACATATGGTAATAATTTTCAATGTAAATAAGAGATCTGTAAAAGGCAGTCATTTCTGTCTTGCCTTTTCCATCCCTTTGGCTCCAGTTAAAGGATTTTTAAAAAGCAGTGTCAAGCACAAATTAGAGTAAGACCACAGTTAGTAAAAGGTTACAGTCTTTAAAAAATCTACTATAAGGAATAAATGCTGGGAAATAAACAGCAAATAGTGCCTTGATGAATTATGTTAAATATCTTTTCATTTATCTCATCAAGTCCATCTTTACTCCAATTTGGCAAAGGTTATAGCAAAATAGGACATTTATCATGTGAGTAGCTCATAAAATGGGAGTGGCTATACTTCTGAATTGCATTCACATCACCTTCAAGGCATATGATATTTAAATATCCTGGGTTTGCTCTCTACGAGGTTATCAGCAGATGGTTCCAATTTTACAACTGGAAAAATGAAAACCTTGTCCTTGTAAGTAGTCCTAATAGAAATGTGACTTACTCTATGCTCAACGGGCTACAGAGAAACAACAAATATTATGTTGTATTTTAATTACGTATGTGTAATTAAGAGAGAAAAAAAATTTTTTTAAGTCCGTTCCTTCTAGGCTTAAACGTGTATTTAAAATTTTGTAGTAAACAAATACTTGTAAGTGATGATTTTCCCATATTTCCAAATAAGATAATGTTGAACAGACCTTATAATGAATTTTATATTTGATCTTTTTTTGGTAAATATAGGTGTGAAAACTAAGTTATATATTCTTCTTTCCAAAAATTCTCCCCTTAATGAGCACTTGCTTTTGATACTGGTCAAGACATTTGGCATACTAAGGGGGCAGTGCCCAGGAAGATACCTCAGAAGACAAGCGTGCCCTCCCCTTATTATCTCCCTTTTTTTCTTTGAGGTTTTAAGATCAAGATATAAGTTATTTTAAGGTCTCAAAATAATCCTTTCACAAAAATAAGGCAGTTTTATGTTGTAAAAACATTAGTTATTTGTCAAAGGTTATGTTCTTCGGTCTTCTTCGGTCACCAGCTGTCAGCATCTCCTAAAGATCGGTTTTTTCTTCATAATGACACCTGCATGCGGCTCGCTGGCTGTCCAGATATGGTTTACAACCTAAATGTATAACACTGTCAAACAAGAGTTCCACTGCTGTTTCACAGGCTGCAAAATAAGAAAATGCGATTACTGTTGGGCAACTGCAAAGCACTGCTCTCTCTTCACCGATGTTACACATTATAGCACAGCAACAAGCACATCCCTAGTGAGCACTGAAATATATGCTCGATCAAAGTCACCAAACTCTCATAAGCCAGTAGCATATTTACATACACACATGTGTGTATCTACAGACTTCCAGTTTTAGTCTTGTTATCATGCACCTTATTTTTTGTTTGCATTCAACTGTTCAACCCCAATTTTTCTTTTTAAGACAGGGTCTCACTTTGACACCCAGACTGGAATGTCACGGTGCAGTCACAGCTTACTGCAGTCTCAACATCCTGGGCTAAAGTGATCCTTCCACCTCAGCCTCCTGAGTAGCTGGCACTATCATGGCCAGCTAATTTTTAATTTAAATTTAATTTTTAATTTTAAACAGACACATCACCACACCCAGCTAATTTTTTTATTTTTTATTTTTAGTAGAGATGAGGTCTCACTATGTCACCCAGGCTGGTCTCAAACTCCTGGGCTCAAGCAATCCCTACCTTGTCTTCCCAAAGTGCTGGGATTACAGGCATGGGCCACCATGCCTGGCCCAATTGTTGAAACTAGAAAAATATGTCTTTTAAAATAGCACTGATTAATCAGTGTTAACTTTCTTTTTATTTGAAAACTATAATCACTAATAGAGATGTCTGATAATATTCTTAAATTTGCATTTTTTGTTGTTGTTGAGACAGAGTCTCACTCTGTTGCCAGGTGCCAGGCGGGAGGGAGTGCAATGGCGCGATCTTGGCTCACTGCAACCTCCGTCTCCTGGGTTCAAGCAATTCTCCTGCCTCAGTCTCCTGAGTAGCTAGGACTACTGGTGTGCGCCACCACACCCAGCTAATTTTTGTATTTAGTAGAGATGGGGTTTCACTATGTTGGCCAGGATGGTCTCAATCTCTTGACCTCATGATCCGCCTGCCTCAGCCTCCCAAAGTGCAGGAATTACAGGCACGAGCCAGTGTGCCCAGCCTTTAAATTTGCATTTTGAGAAAAGATGTTTCATGAGTAGAAGAAACAAAGTTTAAAAATTGAAACCTCAAAACATTTCATATGGCCAATGACTTCTGAGGACTGATCATATATCAGTTAAGAGGCGTAAAGTAAATGGAACCCAGTCTCTTTGACCAATGTCCAAATTTGACTTGGGGGCACGGGAGCATAGAAATAAAAAGTATTTTTCCCTAGTCAGGTTTATTTTATCTATTTATTTTTTGAGACAAGGTCTCACTCTGTTGCCCAGGCTGAAGTGCAGTGGCATGATCTTTGTTCACTGCAACCTCTGCCTCCTGCGTTCAAGCGATTCTTCCACCTCAGCCTCCTGAATAGCCAGGACTACAGGCACTTACCACCACGTCCAACTAATTTTTCTATTTTTTTTTGTTAGAGATGGGGTTTCACCATGTTGGCCAGGCTGCTTTCAAACTCCTAGGCTCAAGTGATCCACCAGCCTCAGCCTCCCAAAGTGCTGGGATTACAGGCATGAGCTACTGCACCCGGCCCCAGTCAGGTTTTTAAATTTTTTAAAGAATATAAAAAGGTAATTTATTTACTTTTTTTATTCTAAGAAACCTGAAACATCCAGGTGAGATTATCTTAATGTGTTACACTTACAGAGCTATAGCACAGAGTGGCTTTTAGTTATCCAAAAACTTACCATTTCAAATACATATGTTAAGGAAGAAACTTTTCATTGCAAAATCTTAACATTTTCAAAGTTCTCCAAAAGACTGCCATTAAGAAACAACCAACCACAGAAGTGCAGAGGCTATGACTATTAAATAGGAGGTTACAAGATAATTGGTTTCACATTCTCCTTAAATCAGAAACAAGAAATTCTATGCTTCAGAAGTTTATAGCCGGTTTCCCTTAGCCAAAAGCTGCAAAGGGATATGGAGGCTGTAAATTCAAGATTACCTGCAGTAGAGATTTCTTCCTTGACATGAATTATTGGGATATTAGAATCAGGGTTACAATGTAAGACTATTTGGAGAATATTGTGAAATAGACAGAACACAGATTTGAAAGTCAGATACGCTAAATGCTCATAAGTTACTGTATTCTGAACCTTTGTTTCCTTCCTTGAAAAATAGGGATAACACCACCTACCTCATTAGGTTTTTGTTGGCATCAAATGAAAACGTGAATAAAGTATCTAGCACAGTACCTTATGATAAGTGCTTAAAACGTTATTTTCTTTTCCCACCTTGCCTCTTCTGATTGCAGTGTATGGTATGTTCTTCAGCTTGACAGTAGAGAGAAATCTTGTAACTACTAGTATTCGAATGGTGAATTACTTGTATTTCCACAAATATTTCATTTCATCCTTATGACAACACTATGAAGTGAGTATTATCATTCTCCTCATTTTAAAAATGACACCAAAGGGCCCTTTCCCTTTGCTAGTTTGGCTTTGTATCACTTCAACATAATATATCATGGCAGGGAGTATAACTATATGCTGAGTCCCGTGAGTCCTTTTAGTGAATCACTGAACCTGGGGGTCATCTGGGGACCTTCCCAACAGAAGGGAGTGTTAAGATAAGTCTTCCGGAAATTCCTACTCCAAATCCAGTGTGCTAAACTCTTTCACTGGTGGTATGGTCTGAATGCTTATGTCTCTCCAGAATTCATGTTGAAATCCTCACCTCCAAAGTGAGGAAATAGAAGGTGAGGCCTTTGGAGGTGTTTAAGGTCAAAAGGATGGAGAATACGATTAGTGCTCTTATAACAGAGGCCCCAGAGAGCTATCTAGTCCTCTCCACTAAGTGATGACACAGTTGGAAGGCATCTTCTACGAACTAGAATATGAGTCCTCATCCTATACCAAATCTGCTAGTGCCTTGATCGTGGACTTCCCAGCCTCCAGAACTGTACAAAATAACTTTCTGTTGTCTTCTAGAAGCTGCACAGTCTATGGTAGCAGGCCGGATGGACCAAGAGAACTGGAATCAGAGTTTCAAACTTTAGCTACTTCAGGTTCTTACATGATGACTGGACATATATTTCAGGGCACAAGGTAGATGAATTCTTCTCTCTCTTGGCCTTAGACACCCCGCCCCCACCAAGGTTTCCTAACGCTTTTTGCTTCTGTGACTATAAATCATTTTAAGGTACAAAATCATCAGCTCCTCACCCCAGAAAATTGAAGTCCGTGTCACAATAGATAATATATGTGAAAATTTTCTATTGGCAAATCCTATACTAAAACATAAAGCATTTGATAAAACTTTAAAAAGTATACTCATCCCAAGTGGCCAGATCCTTACCCTGAACATGCTGAGTTAGTCCTAGTGTTTTCTGTACATCTCGACAGATCTTGGAGAGGCAATACTGGAACTCCTCGTCGCAGTCATTCTTGCTTTTGCCACAGGTCTCATAGCACCTATCGTGTTGGTTGCAGCATTTTGTCAGGGAAGGGATACCAATATTAAGCTGAAATTGGCAGTTGGATGGATTACTGTCAATGAAATGCTAAACTCCTCTGCTGACGCACCGCATTCAAATAGACTAAATGGATACAAATGACAATGACTGCCGTATAGATAGTTCCAAACTCCGTTTCTGCCTATAAATATTTTCTGTGTTATAAATCTCCACATTACACTTACCCATACCCATCCGTGTTACTCTCTCAGCCATGCCTCACTGCTCCCTATTCTGCAGCATTAGAACACTCAGTTACATGTCAGTAACTAACACAACTTCCATTTGTCCAAAACACAAAATGTAGTTTTAAAAACAGAAAGATAAGGCTAAGTCTATTAAAGAGTCCCCAAGGGCTAAGCAAGTATGATTTTTGGATATTCAAAGTGTTTTGTGGCCTCTTCTTTCAAATAAAATGTACTTTATGTGAAATATCACAGAAAACTTTCCTATAACTCAAATTGTTTTTTTTTAAATCTTTAAATACTTCTCCATTCCCCAAAGATACTATTATTCTGAATCTATAATTTCAATTATTTTAAATAACTTTATACATAAAATCCTTGTGTCTAGGAATCATTCTCATAAACATTTTTTTCCCATAATTCTTGGCTTAGATCAATCTTTCCTACAACAACCACACAGCTATCCCACTTAACCTTGTTTTAATGTAGAAAACGTGCTTTATCTATACTTTTCTCTCTAAGTAGTATTACTTCTGTACTCCAAACTTTTCAACTATGTATGTGATATTAGGAAATATCATTAAAATAGTATTAACATCTACAAGATTCAAAAATAAAACAATTTACTTCATTTACTTTTGTTAGAAGTTTTGCCAGAAAGAATCTAATAAACCTGATCACTATTACACCCAGCTATATTATTTCTGTATCTGAGAACATGGTGATAGTCTTATATCTCCCAAAAGTATTACATGATTTACAAGTCACAAAATTTATCAAAAAAAAGACAATATTTACATGAACACCAAACAGTGGAGAGCCACATCCATTCGGTGGGGAGGGTTTATAACCATAACGTGGGAAAGGCTTAGATCCTATAAAATATAAATGATATCATAATTAATTTTCAAACATGATAAAAATAAAATACATACTCAAAAACGTCCACAATATGCTAGACTAGCCTTAGAAATATTTAGTATTTATTTGGATGCTAACGTAAGTATATATGTCTTTATTCTGATGAGCATTAAGAATGCTAATTTGACTATTTTTATTTCTCCTGTGGTGAGGAATATATACAATGTCCACATATATACACATACACATATATAGCAGTTCATAAAATGTAATTATTTGTAAACCTATGCCATACAAAACATACAAAAGCTTATCCCGGACTTCTGGAGATTTCAGAGGTCACTTGCCAGATGGGGTCCATATGTATGAAAGATAAATCCACCCTGTTTTCCTGTATATTCCAACACTTTGTATTTTTAGAGCTAAGACCGTGTCTTCCCAACCTCCCACAAATGCTTCACTGCATACAAACCTCAATAACCATTAACTAACCAGTTTACCCAGCCAAAGCCTAAGGCTAAGGAAGACAAGGTCATCTGATGATCATTTAATAACCTTAGTACTACAAGACATTACAGGACCATACATTCTGCCTGATGCCCTCCCACCCAGTCAACCATTCCATAAATATACTCCTTTTATATCTAAGGAAAAGGTTAGGAGGGATACCTGGTGAACTATGGAACTTCTGGAATATCATAGTTTTAATGAAGTACTTCTAATGAACAGAAGACTTGGAAGGCTAATGCTCCCCAGTAGCATCAAGGGTTCAGTAACAAGGAAAAAGATGACATAATCATAGCAATCTTAAATTTTGAAGGATACTTCAGAAACATCTCACCTCATTTAATACAGGCTTACCTCAGAGATATTGCAGGCTCAGTTCCAGACTGTCACAATAAAGCCAATATAACAATAAAGTGAGTCACACAAGTTTTTTGGTTTTTTAGTGCATATGAGTTTTGTTGGCTGGGTGAGGTGGCTCACGCCTGTAATCCCAGAACTTTGGGAAGCTGAGGTGAGTGGACCATGAGGTCAGGAGTTCGAGACCAGCCTGGCCAATATGGTGAAACCTATCTCTACCAAAAATACAAAAATTAGCTGGGCGTGGTAGCAGGCGCCTGTAATCCCAGCTACTCAGGAGACTGAGGCAGGAGAACTGCTTGAACCTGGGAGGTGGAGGTTTCAGTGTGTCAAGATCATGCCACTGCACTCCAGACTGGGCGACAGAGTGAGGCTCTGACTCAACAACAACAAAAAAAAAAAAAAAAAAAGAAAGAAAGTTTTGTTTACACTATACTGTAGTCTATTAAGTGCTCAATAGCATTGTCTAAAAAATCAATGTACAGACCTTAATTTAAAAATACTTTATTGCTAAAAAATGCTGACACAGAGATACTAAGTGAGCACATGCTGTGGGAAATATGGCACCAATAGACTTGCTTAATGCAGGGTCACCGCAAACCTTCAATTTGTTTAAAAAATAACCACAATTATCTATGAAGTGCATTAAAGCAAAGCACATTAAAATAAGTATGCTTGTGTAAAAATCAGTTCAACCTACCAGCCACCTACTGTCTTTTTGAATATTTCTCACAATCCTCCTGTATCAAGAAATAACCTATTCCATGGTTAAATGACATCAACCAAGACCTTCTGCCTTCTGGTAAGTTCTACCCATAAACAATCTTCTGCCCCTTGGGGAAACAGAAAAATAAGCCAACTCCCTATTTTACACAATAATCCTTTCAAATATTTGGGGCTGCAATTTATCTTTCTTTCTTTTTTTTTTTTTTTTTTGAGACAGAATTTCACTCGTTACCCAAGCTGGAGTGCAATGGCACGATCTCGGCTCACTGCAACCTCCGCCTCCTGGGTTCAGGCAATTCTCCTGCCTCAGCCTCCTGAGTAGCTGGGATTACAGGCACACGCCACCATGCCCAGCTAATTTTTGTATTTTTAGAAGAGACAGGGTTTCACCATGTTGACCAGGATGGTCTCGATCTCTTGACCTCGTGATCCACCCGCCTCGGCCTCCCAAAGTGCTGGGATTACAGGCTTGAGCCACCACGCCTGGCCAATTTATCTTTCTTTCTAAAATGAGATATTCCCAGGTATTTTACCCTAAAACATGGCAGTTTCCAAATACAACCCCACGGTTGGATATGTAGGATTGACACAAAGTATTCTACCAACTTTCATTTAACTAACATTTATTGGTAGGAGAATTAAAAAAAGACAAGGTTACCCTCCAAAAGTAAATTGAGGGTAAAAAAAGCAATCCTTTCAGTAATTAACCATCAAAATAAGTAACCCCTCAAAGTAATGATTGAAAATGGTTTCAGGCCAGCGTGGTGGCTCATGCCTGTAATCCCAACACTTTGGGAGGTTGAGGCGGTAAAACTGCCCGAGCCCAGGATTTCAAGACCAACCTGGGCAACATGATGAGACCCTGTCTTCATTTAAAAAAAAAAAAAAAAAAAAAAAAAAAAAAACTAAAAACAATTAAAAAAAGAAAGAGGAAAATAAATGGTTTCAGTGAGTTGCTCAGAAGTTCCATGATCAACTGAGGTCACCACATATAGCCTCAGTTGAGTAGTACAATCTCATGAAGATATAAAGCTACAGTCTGGTAGGGTGTGGTGGCTCATGCCTGTAGTCCCAGCACTTTGGGTGGCTGAGGTGGGCAGATCACCTGAGGTTGGAAGTTCAAGACCAGCCTGACCAACATGGAGAAACACCATCTCTACTAAAAATACAAAGTTAGCCAGGTGTGATGGTGCATGCCTGTAATTCCAGCTACTCAGGAAGCTTAGGCAGGAGAATCACTTGAACCCGGGAGGTGGAGGCTGCAGTGAGCCCAGATCATGCCATTGCACTACAGCCTGGACAACAAAAGCGAAACTGTGTCTCAAAAAAAAAAAAAAAAAAAACCGTTAAAAAGGTACAGCCTGCTCTACCAATGCTAAAGGAACAATGTATACAAAAAGGAATGGTTAAGGTGAGTCTAGAAAGGGGAAGGCCAATGACAGCACTTGGTCTTGTTTCTCCAGCCATGTCCAAGAGGAAAGATTGTTTCTCAACCCTTGCAAGATGACGGTAGATGGCTCAGACTATCACAGACTAGTCACCACGATCCTTCAATTCTTATCTCCTTTAGTCCTTCATTCCTTTTTTTTTTTCGATGGAGTCTCGCTTTGTTTCCCGGACTAGAGTGCAGTGGCCTGATTCTGGTTCACCACAACCTCCGCCTCCTGGGTTCAAGCCTGTTTCAGCCTCCCAAGTAGCTGGAATTACAGGTGTGTGTCACCACTCCTGGCCAATTTTTGCATTTTTAGAAGAGGCGGGGTTTCACCATGTTGGCTGAGCTGGTCTCGAACTCCTGACCTCCTGATCCACCCGCCTTGGCCTCCCAAAGTGCTGGGATTATAGGTATGAGCCACTGCGCCTGGCCCAGTCTTTCATTCATAAGAAAACAGTTTATGACTTGGCATCCTACTTACAAGGGCCTACAGAGGAAGGACATACCATAAACACTTGGATGTTCAGTGGGCATCTCAAGCTGTCCCTCCTGACATTTACCTCAAACTTGCTCCATCCACAGTTCCCTGTTTTCAGTTAATGGTGACTCTGTCCTTCCAGATGCTCAGAGCAAAATGCCAGCCATTTTTGTTTATGTTCTTACATTCTTATACCTCACATTCAGTCCAACAGTGTATCCTATTGACTCAACCTTCAAAATATTCAGAATCTAATCACTTCTTACCACTTCCACTACTTCCATCCTGCTCCAAGCCACAATGGATTATTGCTATAAACTCCTAACTAGTTGCCCTACTTTGGTTCCCCTGCCCCACACTAACCCCCATAATCCAATCTCAACACTGAGCATGAGTGATCTTATTAAAATACGTTAGAGCAAGTCTTTCTTCTGCTCACACCTCTCCAATGGCTTTTTATTTTATTCAGAACAAAAGCCAAAGTCTATACAGCCTATAAAACCCTGTATAACCTGGTCCTCCCATGATTTCTCTGACCTCATCCTCTTCCTATTCTCTCTCTTCCTTTCTTCCTCAACCCATTCCTCTTTGCTGTTACACAGACATTGCAGGTCTGCTCCTACCCCAGGGCCTTCAAACCTGCTCTTGCTGTATATGGATGCTCTTTCTCCTGATAATACATAGTTTCTGTTTTACTGCTATGGTTTGAATGTTTGTGTCACTCCAAAACTCATGCTGAAACCTAATCACCAATGTGATGGTATCAGGAGGTGGGACTGTTAGAGGTGATTAGGTTATATGGACATATCCCTCATGAATGGAATTTGTGCCCTATAAAAATGGCCCTAAAGAGCTGCCCTTTCCCATCTACCACCATGTGAGGACACAGCTAGAAGGTGCCATCTATGTACAAGGAAGTGGACCCACACCAGATACTGAATATGCCAAATGCTCCATCTTGGACTTCACAGCCTCCAGAACTGAGGAATAAATTTCCATTGTTTATAAGCCATAAGGCATTTTGTTATAGCAGCCTGAACAGACCAAGACATTCATCTTCTCAGCAAGTCTTCCCTGACCATACTATTTGTAGCACATACCGACCTTCTAACATACTATATCACTCATCTACTTATTATGTCTCCCCATACTAAAATGTAAACTCATTGAGAGCAGACATTTTTGTGTTTTGAATTCCCAGTGCCTAGAACAGGGCCTGGAATAAGTATGTAATGAATTTTTGCAATAAGTATATGATGAATTAATGAAGAGAAGACTTGGAAGGCCAATTTCCATGGCGGATAGAATATTCATTATAAATGGAGATTACCCATTGAGAAATCCTGCTGTTTACCCTTCAGTCTCTTTTGAGTTTGGTGAGCATTCATCAACCTCCAAAGACTGATCACTTCTAGTTTGTCATGTCTCTTTAAAATATGGCACCTAAAACTAAATACCATCGGGTAAGATGGGCTTAACCTTTTGAGCTGGATAAAGTACTTGTATTAATGCAG